ATAAAAATGTCCGCCGCTTTTTTCCGGCTTTTAGAAAAGCCGGAAAAGAGCGTCTACACTGGCCCCGATCCTCCGGAAAAAGCGCCCTTTTCTGGAGGCTCTTATTCCTTCCTTCAAAGTAGGAATAAGAGCCTCCGGAAAAGGGCGCTTTTTCCGGAGGATCGGGGCCAGTGTAGACGCTCTTTTCCGGCTTTTCTAAAAGCCGGAAAAAAGCGGCGGACATTTTTATTTAAATGCCGCGGGGGATATTTAAATCCCCCGCGGATTTCCCTACTACGATAGTTGAAATTAACATGCCCCTTCCGGAAAAGGGGCCAGTGTAGACGTAGCCTAGGTGATTAGTCCTGACCTTGGCAATGGGTGTCAGTATAGACAAGAGCATTCGGGAGTAAGTGTCCTGCTGGTTGCTTAAGCTGAACATCAAAGAGCTGTGCTGACCTCAAAACAGTCATTCAAGCTCTGAAAAGAGCAGCAGGACAAAGCAAATTTGTTAGACGTGCTTCAATATTATCATCATGTACTTCATGGTTATGCATGTCATAGCAACAGATAGGCTGGGAGCTAAACAAACAAAAAGGGGCCAGTGTACAAGAACAAAGAAGCACAAAAATTATCAAGGATAACAAAGAGGCACAAGGGAGAGAAAAAACAGCATGTGTATACATAAGGACAATAGACAGGCAGTAACAGCAGCTTGGACAAAAGGTTCCATACATTTTATTTCAAACATGTAAGAAACAAGAGGTCAGTGGAGGCAATGAAGTTTCTCAGGGATGGAAGATAATTTAATTGAATAGGTAGATGCTGATAAATTAATTTTGTGTCTCAGTGCCCATTGAAAGAAGATTTATGTGGTGAAGGGGACAAGAAGAAATTGTCTCTGTTCTTTCTGGTTTGCTCATAATTAAGTATAGACACCTAGGCCTCCATCCTAAAGACCTACTCACATAGTTATCATGACCCATGGCAACAGACCCACTGATGTTAATGGTAGCACTCACAGCACCTAAACTGAAGCATGTGCATAAGTCTTTATAAGAGTAGGGTCTTAGGATATACATATTTCTTAGAACTAGACTGCTAGAAAATATCACCACTAATACTATACATAACTATGTTGTTTTCTTCGTAGTTATCTATGCTGAGTCTGCATCTGTCTGCCCTGTACCTTCCGAGGAAAAAACATAGTTCTTAATTATTAGAAACTTTTGTCTTTCCCACTGGAAATTTGGGACCTTACCCCAAACCAACTGAAGTCACTGGAAAGACTCTAAGGGCTTTGGATTCATCTCTTAAACCTGCAACCCCTCCATAAAACCAACTTAAATTTCATTTGCAGTTTCACCACAACTGGTTGTATTTTGTCAATAGCAGAATTAACAACCATTGCACATGAATCACACTACAATGAATGGCTGAAATATTGAAAGCTAACGCATACACCTCTTCAGGGACTGTTTGTGGAGGGCGATCCTGTGGGCGAAACTCAAAAAGTATTCTGTATTTATTTCCCCCAAAATTCTCTACCCTGAACCTATCAGCTCTTTCCTACTAGCTTTTTAATGCTGTTCTGATCTCAAAACAGACATTCAAGCTCTGAAAAGAGCAGCAGCATCAAGCAAATTTATTAGAAGTGCTTCAGTATTATCATCACGTACTCATGGTTATGTATGTCACAACAACAAATAGGCTGGGAGCTAACCAAATAAAAAGGAAGGGGCCAGTGTACAAGAACAAAAAAGCAGAAAAATTATCAAGGGTAACAAAGAGGTACATGGGAGAGATAAAACAGCAGAGGAATGAGAAGATTACTGAATGAGTATACGGAATAACAAAACATTGAACAGTATACTGTTGGCACTGTGCACCAGTTAGGATACCAGCCGGTAAGGCAATCAACACTTCAAAATTATGTTAGCCAACCGTTGAGATAATTTCCCAAATTAACCTAACTATATTTCCCTAAAAGTTTTGGGTGTCCACTCAAAATATTTGATACTTATGATATATAATGAAGTTAGTGTACAAAACTTTTTTCTTTTGGGATCTGCCTAAAACAGACCCATTGGTCACATTTAAAGCTTTAGTATAGTTACTATCTGCACTACAAACTAGAGCTGTATTGTGACTGAGTTAGGGAAAAGAGTAGTATCATCAGATCCTCTGACACAGTTGTATTTATAGTGTAGACAAGCGGTCACTTGTAAACTACCAACTAATCTAGGTTATTTCTGCATGGAATATTATTTTCCTTTATTTATTCTCTCTACCATTTATATTAACAATTCCCTCTAAACTATTTAACTTGTATCACATGAATCATTCATGTCACTTGGAGAAAAAAGAACGATGCTTCCATATCTCCAGATTTAAATGGGAAAACTGTCTTTGGCTAGTCTTATATTCATTGCTCCTCCCTCCAATAGTAAATGTCACAATCATTATTGCATGTGCCTTCAGTCTCCTTTACCATAAATCACATTTTTTTTTCTTTCTAAACTGCTAAACCCACAGCTGGAAACAAAGCCTACTTAATATTGGCCAATCAGATAAGATGCTTTTGTTAAATTTGTCAAGGCTTGCAAATACACTTCACTACATTATACTCACCCTGCAGCACACAGCTCATCTCTAGTTGCACACATTACGTAAGTGGGTAAAGAATGACACAGCCTGCTCCCTTGTAGGGCAAAGTTTCTTCGTCACCTGAGAATAAGGATGTGAGACATCCATAAATGCTGCTATAATCCTAATATAGGGGAAAGATACAAAGGAAATAGACATTTCTAGCACTTCTGATTGTGAAGCCAATCATGGATGGCTATGCTTTTGTTCTGTTGAACCTCCAGCCAAGTGCAGTGAGAATTAAAATTAACAAAAGCTGTGAGATTCCACCATTTGTTTTAATAGAATTCTGACTTTGAAATCTAAGGTCAACTAAATGCCAACATTTCCCTGCTTATTTACTGTCTCAGACATCCAGCTAAAAATCCTGATGCTATTTTCATTTCAAAGGACATGGCAGAAATATAGACTGTGGGTTTTGAAAATTCAGATAAAGGCATGATAAGCATTATCACAACATAAGACAATTAAGACATTTACTACTGGTCTTCATAATGTAGTGGGGTAAAAAGTATTAGGAAATGCAACCATAATTAACATTAACATCCCTACTTATTGTGTACAAATCATTGCATACATCCAATTTAGAACAAAATCTGCTTGTGACACTCCTAGTTTCATCTTCTTAGGATTTAGTTGCAATGGAAGCAACTTTTTGCTACATACTGGTTTGCAGTGTTGCAGCTGTGCTGGTCCAAGATATGAGGCAGACAAGGTGGAAGAGGTAAATACCTTTTATTACCAACTAGTTGGTCCAATAAAAGATATTGCCTCACCTTCCTTGTTTCTGCTATATACTTGGCATATACACCTCTGAACTAGATTTCAAAAAACACACCCCTAGCTTCAAACACCTTCAAACATCACCCTTGAAGCTATACATACACTTCTGCATATTCACTTTCTATACCAATGTTATTTTTATTCAGATTCACTTTTTTTGGAAAAGCAAAATATCATCAATGATTTTACCTTCTAATTTCAATATATTAAATAGAGTCACAGAGTAAAATCCAGGCCAAACTGAAATCAATGAAATTTTGCCATTGAGTTTAATGGGGCATGATTTCACCCACAGATTCTAAGAGCAGAAGGGACCATTGTGATCATATAGTCTGACCTCCTGCATAACACAAGCCTCACACAATAATTTCTGCATCAAGCCCATAGAATACCTTTTAGAAGCGTAGCCAGACTTGAAGACATCTAGTGATTGAGAATCCAACATATCCCTAGGTAAGTTGTTCCAATGGTTAGTTATACCAATTATTAAGAATATGCACCTTATTTCTAGTCTGAATTTGTCTAGCTTCAACTTCCAGCCATGGAATCTCATGCCTTTGTCCGCTACATATAACATCAACAGTAATTGTTCTCTTTTTTTTAATTGTAACATTGCTGAAAAATCTTACACAGACGCATAGGCATGGGAAATAAGGGTAGCACAACCCCCAGGTTTTGCAGCCAGCTTCCTCACGCCCTGAAGATGGCACAGCTGTGGACCCATTGCCAAAATCACCAGCCCTGGGTCCTAGTCTTTGGGCGGCCCCACTGGCTTTGCCACTGTCTGTTGGCCTTTCAGGCTGTTGCCCACCCTCCCTGGCTCAGTCTGCCAGGCAAATAATCACTCGTTTTTAACAGAGTTATTTACTGTTCAACAAAGCTAATCAAACCTAAAATATTTTTCTAATTAAAATTAGAAACTGTTTATTAACCTATTTTTCAACACAAATCTTTCCTGACAAATTCAAAGCGTTTATACTCACATCATTTAATTCGTAAAATTACACTGTCTTACTGAAGGGAAACAGAATTAACACAAGAGAAAGCTCTCTGTTTACAAAACTTGAAAGCCAGCCAGGACTCCAAGGGTATGTCTACACAGCAGGGCGTAAATCGAATTAAGATACGCAACTTCAACTATGTCAATTGCGTAGCTAAAGTCAAAATAACTTAATTCGGCTTTGACCTATTGGAATCCATTCCGGTCAACCTAACCACACCGCAGAAAGTGCAAAATTTTTCACAGCCCTGAGCAAGGTGGCTAGATCAATTTAATTTCTGAATGTAAAGCAGGCCTTAGAGTAGAACAGAATACCAAACTACACATAGCAGTCAAAAACTATATTGTTGCCATGCAAGGAAACTGTAAAAGTAGTTCTGTAAGGCTGAATTTTAACTGATTGGGATTTGTTATGTGATTTAGAAAGATTTTTTATTCCATTGCCAGAAGAGGTCATAGTTATCATCTAGGCTGGACTCCTTATATGACACAGGTCATGGAATGTCACCAAAAGCACTCTTGGAATAGATTTTAATATATATAAGTCCAATTTTGAATTTAGTGATGGAGAATTCCCTGACAAGCCAGGGTAAATTGCTCCATATGGTTAATTACCCTCACTGGGAGAAATTATATGTTTCTTCTGATCTGAATTTGTCCAGCTTCATCTTTCAGCCACTGGAATATGTCAGACTGTTTTCACTACAGGCAGTCCCCGGGTTACGTACAAGATAGGGACTGTAGGTTTGTTCTTAAGTTGAATCTGCTTGTAAGTCGGAACTGGCATCCAGATTCAGCCGCTGCTGAAACTGACCAGCGGCTGACTACAGGAAGCCCGAGGCAGAGTTGCTCTGCCCCAGGCTTCCTGGAATCAGCCGCTGATCAGTTTCAAAAGGCTGAATCTGGACGCCAGTTCTTACATACAGATTCAACTTAAGAACCCCAGGCGTCCCCAAGTCAGCTGCTGCTGAAACTGATCAGCGGCTGATTCCAGGAAGCCTGGGGCAGAGCAACTCTGCCTCGGGCTTCCTGTAGTCAGCCGCTGGTCAGTTTCAGCAGCGGCTGAATCTGGATGCCAGTTCCGACTTACAAGCAGATTCAACTTAAGAACAAACCTACAGTCCCTATCTTGTACGTAACCCGGGGACTGCCTGTAGTGAAAACAGTCTGACATATTCCAGTGGCTGAAAGATGAAGCTGGACAAATTCAGATCAGAAGAAACATATAATTTCTCCCAGTGAGGGTAATTAACCATATGGAGCAATTTACCCTGGCTTGTCAGGGAATTCTCCATCACTAAATTCAAAATTGGACTTATATATATTAAAATCTATTCCAAGAGTGCTTTTGGTGACATTCCATGACCTGTGTCATATAAGGAGTCCAGCCTAGATGATAACTATGACCTCTTCTGGCAATGGAATAAAAAATCTTTCTAAATCACATAACAAATCCCAATCAGTTAAAATTCAGCCTTACAGAACTACTTTTACAGTTTCCTTGCATGGCAACAATATAGTTTTTGACTGCTATGTGTAGTTTGGTATTCTGTTCTACTCTAAGGCCTGCTTTACATTCAGAAATTAAATTGATCTAGCCACCTTGCTCAGGGCTGTGAAAAATTTTGCACTTTCTGCGGTGTTTGCTTCCCGTCTCCCTGGTCAGCTTCAGCAGCTGGAGACCAGCAGACCAGGGAGACGGGCAGCAAACCCCGTTCATAACTGCGGATCCCACGTAAGTCGGATCCGCGTAACTCGGGGACGGCCTGTATTCACTATTTTTCCACAGGCAGGTGTTTATCGACAGCAATCAAGTCACCCGCTAACTTTCATTTTGTTAAACTAAACAAAAGGAGCTCCTTGTCTTTCTCACTATAAGGCATGTTTTCTATCCTTTAATCATTCTCAAGGGTTTGCTTTGAACTCTCTCCAATTTATCAACAGCCTTCTTGAATAGTTGGCCCAAAGCTGGACATAGTGTTCCAGCAGCAGTCACGCCAGCGACAAACACAGAGGTGAAAGATCTTTCCACTTTTATTCGAGACCGTAACCCAGGATCACATTAGTTATTTTGGTCATAGTGAAAACTCATGTGCAGCCGATTATCCACCCTGACACAAAAATCTTTTTCAGAGTCACTGCTTCCCAGGATAGAGTTCTCCCACTCTGTGGCTATGTCTACACTGCACCCATTTTGTGCAAGGAATATGCAAATGAGGCTAATCATGGAATATCGTTGAATCTCATTTGCATAATTAACGAGGCTCCGTTTTTGCACAAGAGACTTTTGCGCAAAAAGGAGCTGTCTACACTGCTCCTTTTTGTACAAAAAACCCCTCTTGCTCAAAAACAGAGTCTAATTAATTATGTAGATTGCAATCTGAAAGAGCTGGGTTCGGGCAATTTGCGCATGCGCAGAACCATCTGCGCATGTGCAGATCGCCAGACAGCATGGCTGGCGAGCGGAGCTCAGCGCAGTTCAGCAAGCCCTGCAAATGAGGCATGGTGATATTCCACGCTTAGCCTCATTTGCATATGTTTTTGCTCAAGAGGCTATAGTGTAGACCCATTACACTGTAAGTATGTAATAAGTATGACCTATAACTTTTGTTCCTAAATGTATATATTCAGATATATTAAATACATATTGTTGGCTGGCACCCAGTTTACCAAGCAATCCAGACCACTCTGAATGGGTAACCTGTCTTCTTCATTATTTACTTTTTCCCCCGATTTGTTTTGGTCATCTGCAAACTCTCTCAGTGATTATTTTGTTTTATTTTATTTTATTTGTTTTAGCTCATTGATAAAAATTGCACAGAGCTGAGGCCCAATCCCAACCAAATCCCAATGGAAATATATCTGTTTGATAATGAGCCCCTGTTTATAATTACATTCTGAAACTTATCGAGTTAGCATGTTTTTTATTCATTTAATATCAATCATTCTAAACTTTTTAATCAAAATATCAAACACCTCACAGAAGTCCAATTATAATATGTCTACCTTTATCAAATATATAATCTCATTAAAAAAGATATCAAGTCTATTTGACAGAATTTATTTTGCATAAACCCATGTTTATTAGCACTGGTTATATTACCTCTCTTCAATTCTTTATTCATCTAGTCCCAGATCAACTGCTTCATTATCTTGCCTGGGATCAATATCAGGCTGACAGATTTATAATTAAAAATGTAAACGGCATGATCCAGGTAAAGACTGATGCAACACTAGCTTTCTTCCAGTCTACTGTAACTCCCTCAGTGCTCCAAGACTTATTGAAAATTAGCATTAATT